ATTATTGTAAGATCGGCCTAATCGCGTCACAAACGAAGGAAGAGATAGAAAAACAAATGACTTCAAAATTCGCTCAGAAATAAGCCCTCTCTCTCTCTCAGAGAGTGGGCTAAAAATTGAAATAGAAAAACCACATTATGATTTTTTTAAATGTTAAAAATTTATTTTGAATCTGACTAAAATCAAATAACTGCACGATGGCGTGCATTTCGATACTATTTTCTTCAGAACCACGCCCAAGAATTTGGCCTACTGTACGTTAAAATTAGGTGGGGTGCAGCATCTAGTATCAATTATCCACAATAGGAACAATTGGTATTGTTGAGTGACTTCAGTCCTTCATATTTGTTCATATTTGGGGGCTATGTTTGAAACCCGTCAGTGACAAGGATACATCCAATGACGTGAATCACCAGTGACATGTCGGTCCTTTTCAAATATTTACTTTAATAATACTAATTAGTCATAATAACGATAATAAAGGTGATAACAACAACAATATTAATAATAATTTATTTTAACAATACTAATAGTAATAATATGGTAATAATAACGATATTTAAATATCTATTTTAATAATACTAATTAGTGATAATAACATTGAAGGTGATAATAGCAATAATAACAGCAATTATAAATTAAAGATAACGTTTATTTTTATAATAATAGTAATACTAATTAGTAATAATAATAATAATACTCATGATTCTTATAATACTAGGACTACTTCGATAATAAAGGTGACAACAACAGCAACAACTACAATAACAATAATAATAATAATAATAATAATAATAATAATAATATGAGAAAATACCAATAAAACACCAATAACAATATTTTTAAAATTACTATTATTAAAATAATAATACTAAGATTAATATATAATAATAATATGAATAAAAAAAATCGAGAATTTTATTTTTTATTATTTATATGGTAACAATAATAATATCAGCAAAAATTTAAACAATACATAATGTTAATGCTAAGACTAATAATTAATGTTAAAACTAACGGTAATAAAAACAACAATAATAATAACAACAATGACACCAATAATAACAGCAATAATAATAATTGTGGCCGAGTTGACTTGTGGCCGAGTTAACTTTTGGCCGAGTTGACTGCAGCCGAACTTCGAGTTGACTTGTGGCCGAGTTGACTGTGGCCGGGTTGACTTGTGGCCGAGTTGGATCGAATTAT